TCTTCTTCTTCTTCTTGATGTTCATCCTGGGTGTAGGTAAACTGCGTCAAGATTGATGTATCGCATGTTTCCTCGTTGGTATCAAATGAATCCTCCACTATTGGTGATTCAGTATTAGAACATGACTGGCCTTGACAATGTGTACATGCTAGAGAATACACCAGTACAACTTTTTTACAACCACATTTAGCGCTGCCTCCCTTTTTACAGTTGCAAAAAATTGTGTTCAGCAGTTTTTCCGGCTCAGGTGGGAGTGAAGTCTGAATAACCAAGCCACACTTGAACTTGGAAATATACCCGGAAAAGATGTTGATGAGCAGTAACTGAGGTTGGAGGAAGACAAGCTCATTGCACCTGTTTCTTATTTTTAGTGTTTTCAGGTGTTTTTTTTCGGAGCTTTGTACATAGAAAGAAGAAGCTGAATCCCGTTGGTGATAATTTCTTGTTGAGTCGAATTACTTTTTTTGAAAACTTCAGCACATTGAACTAAATCTTGTTTTTTAAACATTTTAAAGACTGTTGCTTTACCCCTCCTGTAAAATGCAGCAATGATTTTGACTATTTGCGAAAGTAGATAAACTTTTTGACGAATATATTTCGGTTTGACTTTGAGCTTTTCCTGGCTTTAGAAAGAAAATAGTTTTTTCAGGTGGAGTTCGAGCAGTAAGAAGTACCTACGAGTAAGTCTACATCTTCACCAACAACAATAGTTGTATTTGTCAAATAGAATTGCTCTATATTTTTACTTGAATTACAACTTCAGAGATGTATATTCGTGGCATACTTAGTTGTAATCATACTTATGCATATAATGATGATTACAACTTTTACATGTGTTTGACTCGTCGTATCTCAGAAACGGTGGCTCTAAGAAAAAAAAAGAATCGATACATTTTTTGTAGAGAATTTTATGATCTACAATTTTTATTTGAAGTTATTTTATGATAAAACTTACCGTTTTCCTGAAAATCACGAAAAACCAATTTTTTTTCGAAATTTTGACCTTTGACCTCGAATACATTTTTTTCCAGGCATCGCAATCATTCCCACTTATGTTTCGCTTGCGTTTACGCAGTTATTTTTATCAAGTACTTTCTTGGTTTTTTTCTAATTTTGTCTTCAATCGAGGACCGCCTGCCCGGTACTGACGATGCCCTCTTCGTGGTATTAGCCAGGGTATCAGTTGTTTTCTGATAGGTGTCAGTCTTCAAGTACACCCCTCACTATATGTGAAAGCAAAATTCTGCTTTGTACGTTTTTTCTCTTGATTCAAAAACTCTCAACTATCAAGGTAGTCGTGAATGTAATGCCCGCTGCTTTCTAGAATAATATGCCGTTGAAACTAAAAAGTGATATCGACGAAACAAGCTTCTGGTGTATAGATTGTTAGCTAGTAAGAATATATTTGATAAATATGAATGTAATGTGAAAGAATAGTGTTAAACTCGTCTGAAATAATATTCTGATGCTCATGGATATTACAGACTTCGACTTAGTCTCAGTTGGGAATCTGGAAATAATATGATGTTAGTCGTTTCTTACGTCACTATCAAATCCTAAATTATTTATTTCAAGACAACAAACCACTTCAATATTGAATAAATTTTTGTCAGGGCGTCGAATTCAATTATTTTTATCGCTTATCAATTAATAAAGCGTGATAAGTTGATTGAATTGAAAAGCAAAATGTTCAACAATGAGGTCATTAGGCCATTGTTTATCGAGTAATTGTGCAGGTCCTATTTGGTATTGCAAATTGTTTCATGAAACAACAATAAAAGATGCTTTAATAACTTATTCAGTCTGCCATAACGGGTTATAACTATTTTTGAAACAATTTGAATCGCTGCGTTGAAATAGAATTGTTGATATTTGAGAGAGAACAATCATTAGTTGGAAGTCTAATTCTTGAGTCAATGGAAACTTTTTCTTATAGAAATTTACTTCATATTCCATTATTCGCTCTACATTGTCAAATTATTCTATTTTGACGTCACATCCTAGGAAACTGCCATCAAGTATGTGAAAATATTTTCCTTATTCGAGGAATTGGGCCAATCGAATATTCAGTTGGTTAGTTCCTTGTTTGAGGGCAAATGGGGCTATGGCAAATATATTGTTTGTCGTTCGCTTCAGCCTTGTTCGAAGAATGATACTCTGAAAAGAATTCGATTCTTAATTATGCAAAATCATCGACTTCTTATTGATACTGCTTAATATTTCATGGTATCATGAAAACCTGAAAAGTGTTTGTAGTGGTACAAAAAGGGAATATCATGGAATTTGGAAAAGGAAAAAAAGTGAAAAAATCAGAAATTCTGACAATTAAATGAAGTGCATCTGAAGCATATATAAAGAGACGGTCGCCAGAAATAACACCACAGATTCAATATTTGAAGAAAATCCAACATAAACACCCAATCAGTACAACGGATTTCTGTTGAATGTAATTTCGAAAATACTTGGAAAAATAGATAAGACCCAATTTTCATGTATATTTCGAATAATTCACAATCAATGTTTCTTCTGCCAGTCACTGAAGAAGAAATTGAGAATCTAGGATGGAAAATGAAAAACAAACACACGTGTGTAGATGACGAAATACCAGTAAGTGTGATGAAAATATGCATAGATAATATTCCCAAAATAATTTGCTATATAATGAATAACTCATTCAAATATGGAAATTTTCCTGAAAAACTAAAACTATTTCTCATAACACCTATATAAAAAATAAAGATTGTGATTTGTTTGAAAATTATAGGCCTATAAGTGTCTTGCCATCGTTTTCTAAAATTTTCGAGTGGCGATGTGTGATAGATTTAACTTTACTGAATCATCTCATTTAGTCGAAAAAACACAGCACTGGTTTTCTAAAAAATGGCCTTAATCTTAACTCCGACAAAACCAAGGTAATTCTATTCAGAACCCTTCATCAAAGAATTGAGTCACCAACAACTGTTCATTTCGAAAATAATCAAATAAATGTACAAACCTCAACAAACATTTTAGGTATATACATCAATGAGCATCTTTACTGGCATACCCACATTTTAAATTTAGGAAAAAAGTTGAAACAAATCTGCTACTGTGTGAGGATTTTTAGTACTTATCTTAAAAAATGCAGCAAATTTTGAGTCTTCCGCAAAATTTGGTATATTATTCTGGGGATCTTGTAGTGGTTTCTCGAATTTATTTGGAATTCAAAAAAGGGTGATAAGAACTATGTTCAAATTGAAGTACCGCCGATTTTGTCGGGGAAAATTCAAGGATAATTATATAATGACAGTACATACACTGTCCATTTATGAATGTGTAATGTACTTTTCCAAACATGAAGATAAGTTCTTGGAAGCAGGATAAAATTATACTCTGCATGTTTCTCGATTGGGTTTTTCCGAATATGAGTGACATACGTCGCTTGTTGATCTTTGTTCCCTAAAGCCATATTGACGACTGCTCAAGATGTTGAAGCCTTCCAAATATTCAAGGAGTTGGTGGTTTACGTCTATCTCTATGATGTTTGATATCACTGATGATTTGAGAATTATCAATCCACATTTCCAGTTACATTTGCAACACATCTCTACTACATTTACGAGAGTTGGGAGTGTTGATACTTCATTGATCATGTGTCCCACATTATCATATTCACGATGTAAATGCAACGAAATGCATCTGCTGGAATTTTGAAACACTTATCTCCTCCGTATACAATGTATTTTTTCTCAGCAGTTATTAGACTTTCGATTTTTGTTAAAGCTGAAGGTAGATAGACTGTATGTTTGGAAGGAAACATACAATGGATATGAATGTAGTTATAAAAAAGAGTAATAAACTCGTTGATTATTCATTTTTGAAGCTTAAGAATGTTATAGTGTACAAAACTAGAATATGAATTTGTCTGTAGTATTCCTTTCAAGACAGCCGCCACTTCAATATAATGCATTACGCAT